TAAAAGTAACTTATCTAGTTAAAATAAATTCTTTTTTTCCCTTCATAAAACGTTGAACTGAGATGTTTTATCGTTGCACCAATTGGATTTTCACAATTACATTTATCTTTCGCTTGGAGCGAAGCGTCCTTTCAAATTAAGTTTGCAACGAGAAACGAGTAGTCGTCAACAATAGATGAGATTTCCAATAGCAAGATACGTATGTATAGAACTGTTCGGGACGTACCACGTCCGCCTCGACTTCGTAGACTGATTTTCCAACGTTCACATTTGTTTACTGTTCCCAGTTGTTTTAGCGTCAATATTTTTACCCTCCGAATTATATACAAATTAAAATTATGATTTTTTTAACTCGTACATTTTAGTATATTAATGTTAAGTCAAATAATAGGACTCATGATTTATTGCCGATTTAATTGTGTTTACAGCTTAAACTTAATTAATGTGTTCTTAGTCTTTTTATATGAATAATTTAATGCATAATTAGTAAGAGCAAAGACCCTGTTAATTTGTCTAGTATACATAAAGTCGCGTCTCTAAACTTTAAAGTACAAAGTTCATCGTCTTCAACTCATTAGTACCCTTGGAGTTAGCCCGTATTGATATAATTAAACTTTTGTAAAGGTTAATAATGTGAAAATGATGACGAAGATGTGTGAAATAAGTTTTTGGCGCCAACTGTAAAATATATTTCACTAACAATAAAAAAAAACAAAACAGCCCCATTTAAAAACGTTATAAACTTTTAGAATAAGAAATTGCTATAAGCATATACTTAAGTTGTACTTACTGTAAATGTACGAACGAAATGCATCCCCAATATATGGCCGTATCGATAGCTGCAAATGTGTTGAATTCACGTTAAGGGCCGAAAATCGACAACATGGAGATTCGCGCCAAAGCCCGCAGTTACGTATAACGAATGCACTCACTATTGCCTAGCGAAGACAGCTCCGTAATACAATTTCCCGGTGCTTCAGCGCTATTGCCATCTTGGGGACAATTTGCACTAATGCTTGTGCATTTCGCGTTCACAAGCGTTGTTTGAATATTTTGCTGGAATTGCTATTGTTCGGTTACTTTGCATTCGAATAGAATAATGCAATACTCTTTTAACTTTTTTACTTAAAGACGTAATACTTACTTAATATTATAAATGTGAAAATTTTAATGTATGCATGGATGTTTCTTAGAGTTTGTAGGCTAAACTGCTGAACAGATCTCAATGAAATTTGCCATACATGTAAAGGATAGTCTAGAAGAATACATAGGCTACATGGTTTTGTTTTCTCTAATACCACGCGGACGGAATCGCGGGCGAAAGCTAGTTTAATATATTTTAAGTTAGAGCGCGAATTTTATTATAAGTTAGTTATAGCAATGTTAGTGTTTAATAAAATGTCACAATCTAAAGGACAATGAGGGTTAAAAGAAAGTATTGCGAAGAAAAAAGGGTAAAAACACTTTCAGAATCCGGTGTACAAGGTTCTTTATAGGTACCAAGTTCTTTTGAAACTTAAACCTCTTGTTCTATTACAGTTTCCTTTGAACTGCATCGTGGTTAAATTTTTTAAAAATGATTTTCATGTTCATATTATGTTGGTTATGTAACTACTGAAATACTAGACTTACTTGAAAAACATTTTTTTTATGTAAAAGTAATTTCATTGACATTTTTTGTATAAAATTAAATAAACAAAAGTGCCATTTTTAAATCATTGTTTTTGTTATGAAATTATAACATGTAAAATATTATGCTTACTTTGTATAAATTCTTGTATCATATTTAGTTACTACTGGGTGTAATTTTAAAAATCCACACGATTCAACAAAAAGATTCACTGAATACAGATAAGCTTATGTTTATTTGTTTTTCCAAATCACTTTCGAGTTTGCTTTTGTTAAAATAACGTTCGTAAATCTGATCGAATATCAAAATCTACATCAACGTTGCTTGGATCATAATTATAACCTAACTTCGTTTTTCTTTTAAATAAGTTTATAAAGACATACACAGATTTCATGTTAAAATTTTCACAAGTATTTACTTTACTGTGAATTTTTGATATCTTTAAATTAAAAACAGAGAAATGGCTGATAAACGGCGGACATTGGCGATTCTAATAAATTTATAAGCGTAAATTGAATCGTAAATTATTATGAAATATGTAACTTAGTCTACATAGGTATACCTTAGATAAATTCTTTGTATAAATGAAAAATATATGTCATGACTTCTAAAGTCTTACATAACGTATGTTCCACACGTCCTCGCCTTAAATTTTTAACGTCTAAGGTGAACTAATTCTCAAGCACCGTCTCGAGTTAACGCGACCGAGTCTGTAAACGCGGGATTAAGCCAAAGATAAGTTACAACGAGAGAACATTTTAAATGCTAGGTTTCTTAATATCAAATGTATATTTTATACATTATAACAAATCCATTTGTTTTTAAGTATTTCTGTAGTAGTCTAACGCTGTGGTGTTGAAACACCTTAAAGCTAATCTGTTGTCCAGCTCTATATAAAATTCTTGAGCACTTTTGAACTCGTAAAATTATTCAGAAACCGGGTCTTTGTGAAACTGCCCAAAAGTGTATTATTCTCTTACAGCACGAATGGTGCAGCAAAGTTTTGTACATAAATAAAAAATTCAACAAAAACTTCTGTTGTACCTTTTCTCCAATTAAGCTCGGTGACCTAAATTATGTCCGGCATTTTTCTTGATTTTATTTCGGGTCCAAAACGCAAATGTCAAGTACGAGCTTGTGGAAAATTACATCCATTTCTGTTCACAGTAATAGCTACTGTAATGAAACGCTTGTCATGATTTGGGAACGTAGGGTTTTATGTCCGAACTATTTTTTGCTTATACAATTGTCCCTTCCTTTGTTATAAAGTAGGACACATAAAAACCACATCCATCGCAGGCGAGTTAAATGAAATTGTTTCACAGTACGGAATGTCGTAAAACGTAGATTGTTTATTACACTCGTAATGCTGACGGACGATTAAATTCATAAGACAGAAATAATTTCAATAAAAAATTACGACTCTTTCAAAATCTAAAAATATCTAGTAACTATTTCCATGAAGAACATAATATTTTATTACCTGAATAAGACCGTCTAAAAAAAGATATTATTATCCGAAAAGCTCCGGTTATAATTGAAAGCGACTACTTGCCAAAAAAGAAAATCGAGTTTGGAACTAATCCGCGGCTTAGAACAGTTCGGCAGCGTTTCCATGGAAAAATGTCACGAATTAAATGTAGCTGGGGATTTGTTTCGCTCAAATCGCTTGGAAATACGAATTGGATCAATGTGTAGGCATAGCAACCCAACATACATTTATTTTATTTATTTAAACAACGACACATTTTCCATTGAACGTTTGAGACTCAAAAATACGCAAAAAGAGGCATTGAATAATGTTATTGAAATTACAATATACATACGTGTCTATGTGATAACACCGTGCACGAACAGCTAGTTATTATTTCGTCAATAATAATAAAATAAATATTCCCAGTGTTTTTACGAATACACGAAATAAAAAATACATTTCGGCATACGATACGGCAATCTCTGAAGCTTCACTTGAATTTATTACTATGGTTAGGGTAAAAGGGCTGCGAGTGTACTCTGAGGGAAACATTTCGAGGGCGTGCGTTTTGTTTACAAATTGCTCGACGGCGCGTGACTCGGCGCGGTTTGAATCACCGCGAGATATAGCTGCTACCTGCTGATAATTTTCTTCAATATTACTCGAGACTACATTAAGCGGTGAGTAGCGATCTTTCTCGAGCAGCAATAACGGCCCGTGAATTGGATGTACGTGTTATTTTATGTTCGTATCAGATAAATAATGTACATTTTATAAGCCTTTATTGCTCATTGACGGTTATTCGATCTAAATTATGAAAGATTTTAACTTTCTTATTGAAACTGAGCTGACAATTTGCAGTTCATCAGAAAATATTTCTTTTAGAATTCACAGAAAGCTTTTACAGTTCCTTTCTCGTAAATTAAAAGACGTGCGAAATTGCTTTTCAGCAAAGATATAACACATGCAAAAGTAACTCATTCGCTGAGATCACTTTCCAAAGAAATGTATCTTAGAAATTGCAGTGAAGTGAGATGTTATGAAAAAAGTCTAGTGCAAAATATAAGATCCTTTTAGACGCTACGCTGATATTTAGACGCTACGCTGATATTTCTTAGTACGAACACCGTGTTGCTCATTCAAGGGTTTTCCTCGTGTAGACTGTCTCTATTTTTATGCAGAATCAGTTTAAATTATGTACGTTTTGTATTTCCATGCATCTTTTTTAATTTGATCTGTAGTAGAGATGTCTTTTTTCAACGAATAAATTCCACTGTTTTATTATCTAAAACTTTTTGTAAAAATTTGATTTCCATAAAGTAGTTACCAAAAACATTTTTAATTAAGATACCTAGAGTTTAAGATGTAACTAAGATAAATAGAACAAATTTAAATTAAGGAAATCTTCAAAATACTGTATTCTTGTAATCACCTTGAGACGTAATCGTTACCTCTCCATTGCTCAGTATTGTCATTAACAGACGTCCTTCAAACTGAGGCAATATTTTCTACATTGGCTGTTAAATTAAGAGCTAATGCCAACTTGAATTCCGTTACAAGTTAAATTTCGCGGAATTTATGCTTTGAAGTTACTTAAGGTGAAAGATATTACTAAAGGTTAACATGGACCTTCTATGTTTCAAGTACTTTCAATATAACTAACCTTTATCATAGACAAAAAACTATCAATTATACAGTTATTTTTTATTCAATCTGTAGTAAACCACTAGTCACAGATGGTTCAGATGTTAAATGTCAAATATTCCATGCCCATCTTTATTGTACATACGATAAACCACAAACGGATATTTCCTTTTCATTCTGTTCTCTCTTTACCATAATTAAATAATGTAAAAAAGCAAAGATTAATAAGGTGTTTTTCTTTTGTTTCTACAGAAAGTCGTACGTGCACAGCAAACGAGTTCCGATGCAAGACTGGCCGCTGCATCCCGCTGTCGTGGCGATGTGACAACGAGAAGGACTGCTCCGACGGCTCCGACGAAGAATCTGGCACATGCAGTAAGTACATAACGTCATTGAAATAATGTAAACGACATATAATTAGATCAGAAATATACGCAAAATTATCTCCCTAATCATATTCGAGAAAATGTTAAATAAGGATTATAGAGAGGTCATCATCATCCACTTGCCCTTATCCCTAATGGAGGGTCGGCACACTATGTGCTACTCTTCTATACATCTCTATCAGCCGTCATATCTGAATCCACTCCTTTCTTAAGCATATCTTCTTTCACACAATCCATCCATACTTTCTTCGGTCTTCCTCTTCCTTTGTAGCCATCCACATTCAATCTCAACACTTTCTGGTTTATGTATGTATTTAGGATTATAGAGAGGTATACGTCATTTATTAGATTATACAATTATTTTTCCTTTTCTATTTTGTGAAACAGTAATGTAGTTTTAATTAGCGTAGACTAACATACAATTTAAAAAAAAAAGAAAACTTAGTCCTTTATCTTATGACCTTTCTTTAAGTTCCGCAGTAAACAGGGAGAAACAGGAAATAGTGTATTCTTGTTTAGTGAAAAAATAACCTATGGTCTATGTAGTGTCCATTAAATTAGAAAAGTGTTAAAACACTAGCTACTACAACAAAACTCATTTTTTTCTAGCTGCGTAAAGTTATAAAAGTAAGAATGTTGCGGAAAAGTTTTTTAAAATAATTGAAATTTGCTATCTCGTAATTTAATTCAAAAATATATCAATTTTCGAAATATAATTATCTTAAAATTTACGGGAAAAGTTTGTAAGGTATCACGCGTACCGAGTCTTTAGCTGGGCTTCCGACGCGGATTAAAATCTTAATTACGGCTCAAAGTTTCACGGATTAATTTTATAATCTTTGACCTGTCTTTTCCCATATTTAGGTATGCATTTAAAATTCAGATTTCGTTCAAATAACTTTAATAAAAAAAAACTTACGCTGTATTATATGGACATGCGTGTGTAAACCAATTAATCATTTTCTATATGAAAAAAAATTGGTGATTTGCATAAACCTTGTGTTAATTTATTTGCTTTGTAGACGCAACGTAATGGAGCAAATGGTAAAGGATTTATGCGGGATTACTCTCGTGTTCAAAACAGACGAACCGGTAAATTATGTCTGCGAAGAAATGAGAGTTATTTGGATATCTCGTATATTTGCCGGGTAACTTACAATACTCACATATTTATTTCAATGCGAATGCAAAACAAACATTTTTGTTTATACACGAAGAGATCAAACGTGTATAAATTATTTTTTCGGAATTAATAAAGTTTTAATCAAAACAAACCCGAACGCTTGAACTCCACATTTGGGTAAAGAGGAAAAACTCTCCTTTAGCACTTTACTTTTGTTATCTCCGCGAGAAGTTAATTGATCAAATTTTGAATCTGTAACAAGATTAAAAATGCTTATAGAACTCCCTATTGATGAGGATGTCATCTATGATATTACTCCGTCAATGGCGAGCCCTGCTATCTAAGAGAAAGAAGAACATTCTATTACCGAATCACTACAACAACAAATATGTTATTTCCAGAAAAAAACATAAATGGAAGGTCCTTACTAAGATAACGGTACCACTCCTATGTATATGAATGCATAGAATAATGTAAATTATACCTCAATTGGATATATGGAAATACAGTGGAATTGTACTTTTTTGTACAAACAGACCCACGCTAACTATCGTCTCAGTTTATATAATTTATTAGACGGAACTTAAAACAACATTATGCTTGAAATAGGACTATTTAGTTCAATTAATTACATTTTACTCTCGGCACTGCCACTGCCTGTGTTGAGCGTAGACACTCATTAATTTGATCGTGTCCCCAAAACTTTACAACGGAACAGAAGTGCGGAGAAAACTGTTTTAATTACCTCATGACAGTTGAATGATCAAGAGAAATTATTTTCGTTCTTATAAATACAGTATGTTTGTATTTTTCTTTAAATTTCAGTTTTTAAGTATTACTACATTTTATGTTACATCAAATGATGATGATGATGATAATAAGATTGGAAAAACTAGGTTTTATTTTTATTTGTGACGGATAAACTCGACTATCGAGTGTTGTGATACGAGAATTGAGTATATTACCCTTCTTATAATGTCGAATAGCTATAATAAAAATATGTTAGAGCCTTTAATGTAGAGGTATTAGTAAAAAGTTTAACAAACAGCAGCACAGCGCAGCAGCTGTCCGGAACACAAGTTTGTGTGCGCGAGCGGTCAGTGTATACCTGCCGCGTGGCATTGCGACGATGCACCCGATTGCCCAGACGGCTCGGATGAGCACCACTGTGGTAAGATCAGCTCGAATCTCGCATGTGGAATACGAGCATGACTACGATCAGCATGTTACAGGAAAAGACAGCAAGAGAAATGAATAATTTTAGCATTTCAGGGTTGTTTTATTCGGTCTTTCGTCTTTTGGTGCCATCTCTAATGTTGGCGACTATCATGACACGGCAGTACTAGGAATCGCGTGCGCATGTCGCGGGTTTTATACTGGTAAAATAATCATAAGCGTTTAAATACGATTTAGAAACGTATCTTGGTATTTTAACGTCATCATTTGCATTAGACTTAGCATGAGCATGACTTGGGTTGACAGAAGTGGAGGCGTGCGGCCCTGAAGAGTTCACGTGCCGAGGGAAGCATGGAGAATGCGTGCCGCTCACCTGGATGTGCGACGACAACCCCGACTGCTCGGATGGGTCCGATGAAAAAGCATGCAGTAAGGGGTTTTACTTTATTCATTGCCAACGACATTGTTGTTACGAAAGAAGTTATAATGCGTTTTTAAAGAATTATGTCCTCTGTTTGATAACTATTCTATTCATCAAATCGCTTTATAACTTCTTTCTGTGTTGGGTTTATCATTGACATGTCATAAATCATGTCTGATCATTCCATTTTGTTTGAAAAAGCTAAGTGGATTTTTTTCAACCAAGTTGTATGTACACACACAATATTGAAACGACAAGGATCACAATTCTTCAATTCCAAAAACTTTTAATGCAATAGCCCTGTTACTGTCTAGTATAATAATTATATAACAAAAAGTATATTGATTCCTTGCTTTCAATTGGTCAAATTAATGTTTGACCAAGCGAGTGACCATCAATCAATCGTGAAAATGAATCCCTGATATTCCGCATTCTATACAAATATTCGGCCCATCTGATAAATTTCTTATATTCGTATCCTTCATCATCTTGCCCTATAACGCCTTAACCTTAAAAGATAACATTCTATGCATCCCTTTATATCCGTAAGCTTTCTTACCGTAGAAAGGTCCGATACGATGTCATTTCCCATTTTTCAAACCTTCACAAAGATAGCATTGTTATTACTTTGGCACGTATTACGGATAGTTATGAGTTGTTTTATACTTATTTTGTTATATGTTGCTAATGACACTAAGCATAAGTTTTGCAAGTTACAGCTGTATACTGAAATGGCATTAAGTTTGTATAGCGTCTTAGATTATAAGGCAACCTTTAAATACCGAATTCCATAAAATTTTTCACGTCAAGGGAAATGTTTAAAATTCGTTTCAGTTATTGGCCGTTTAATGTATACAAAATTAGAATTTTATTATTTTCAATATTACGATGAATGATGTGGGATTGAAAGACTTTTTGTATTCATTGACTCTTTTTAATAAACTTAAACGGCTACAGGTAATATTAGAACTTACCTTGTATGGAAGTTTAGGTGTTAAAAACACACTAAGGAATTTCTATGACAAAAATAATAGTAATTACGTAGACAATGATAACTAGTTAACGGGTTGGTCTGCTTTGAAAAGGAATTTAATTAAACAGAAATACTCTCGCCAGACACGAGACTCTAGTAAGAGTAAATTTTTAAACTTTTCTTTTATTTAAGCATCTTACGCTTAGTAAATTATTAAAACTTCGTATTATTACATTTTTAAGTATTATTAACTTACATTATTAAAAACCGCTGAAATTACGTTTTCTCTTTTACTCGTAAAACTTTTAAACGATATTTTAGGCGCTTTAGTATTTTTTCATTAAAGATATAAGTAACTTACGGTATTTGTTCTTACTTTCGTTCTTTGAACTTTATTTTATGCTTGCGTTTATATTTAATATTATCTGAACTATGGTAAAAATTTGATTACTACAAGAATTGTACCTTCAACTTAGGATATCTAATATTTTGTACTACGTTTCATAAAACTAAACATATACGGTTCTTCATATATTACCTTATGTATGTATATTGCATACGATAGCGTCTGGAAACGAAATCCTCTCGGGGAACTGTGTCTCTTGTCGTTTAAATTTTAAAGTAGTGTACATATTGTTAGAAGGTTTCTATGTAGTCTTTTTTGTTAGAGAAAGATCGTTCTATATTCAACACATGCAAATTGTTTAAAATAATCACTTGTTATGAATTAAGGTTTAATTTATTAAGCATGTGCAAATGACTTTGACATGTTCTTAATTTATTTGCATTTACAATAACACAACTTAGGGGACAATAAGATGAACTGATGAACGATCTGATCGAACTTATTAGACCAAACATACGAGGAAGCGATGTTTTTAAGCAAATACAAGATGATAATCAAGATACCAAAGAGTCTGTCTTTTTAACCCGGCTTATTTGAAAGGATGTTTAGCAGCGAGATAGTGTTTAGTATTATAAGAATAAAACTTTATGGCTGCTCGTGGTAAGCTTGTGTTTGGTGTGGATCCACTACGAGTGAATGAAATCGGGTGTGGCACATTCTCATTTCGTGCAATATTCACAGCCGCCATAAAGTTTGAATGGCTCTGTAGTTGCTGATATTTATTGCATTAACTAGATGAGACATGTCGCGCGGACGAGTTTACTTGTGGGAACGGCAAGTGCATCCAGCAGAGGTGGGTGTGCGACGGCGACGACGATTGCAGTGACGGCAGCGATGAAGCCAAGTGCCCGGCGCCTACCTGCCAGCCGCACGCGCACTTCTCCTGCGCTGATGGTCACTGTATCTCCGCTAGGTGGCGCTGCGATAGAGATATCGATTGCCCGGACGGCAGTGATGAAGCGGTAAGTTACTTCTCCCTCTCATTTTTCAACTATAAATCTAATTTTCTAATCGCAGCGAGTAAATGGACACGCAATTGTCAAATGTTGTCAGCATTATCTGTGTAGTTTTGTACCTAAAATACCGATTCTGTAAACCGTAACTTTAAGATTTGAGTTTTAAAGAACTTTTACAATATTTCACGATAACTTATAAAGTAAACGAAAATAACATTAATTTTATTTATGTTTTTCCGATAGTGGCATATCATAATTATTTAAGAATTTCAAAAAGCTGGCAACACTTGAAATGTCATTTTAATCGCTGGGATTAAAAAAACAGAAGGTAGTTCAAAATGAGAACAAAAAAAATATTTCAAGCGTGCAAAATGTGAACTATGTTTATCAAAGTAAAGGTAACATTTTATTAGTATTTTTAAATGGAAAAGTGCACATTCAATGACAGTGTTAATTAAACTAAAGCTTGTAAACGGGTACCTTTGAGCTACAATAGTCAATATAAATGTTTATATATCCAAGGTGGACACATATGTATAGCATATTATTTACTCATGAACAACTGTGTACCGATGACGTAGAAATTACTTGAATCAATTATCAAACACGTATCAATAACATATGGTAAACGGAGTTAGAATAACTAATGAGTATGTAACTATTGCTTTGTTCTAATAATAAATCACTTTAGTTAAAGCAATACCTGGAAATTAATTTTTAATTTCATTGCTTCATAGTTTGCAACAAATTGACAGTTTATATTAACAGAGACACATTACTGAATAATGCCCGTCAAAGTAAACTACTCTATCAAACATAACTACATACAACACCTTCCTAAGAAAACTTCGTAAGTATGTTTATTAATTGAATTCATTTTTCCATTTTCCAGGGTTGTCCAACATCACCAAAGGTGATTTCCCCCTGCGTGTCTACTGAGTTCCAATGCCACGATCGTGTAACATGCGTGCACAAGACATGGGTGTGCGACGGAGACCGCGACTGCCCTGATGGCGGGGACGAGGCGCCGGAGATCTGCAGAGGCAATGTCACTTGCCGCATCGACCAGTTCCAGTGTAAAGACCACAGTTGCATACCCGGCGCCCTCTACTGCAATGGAGAGAAAGACTGTCCCGATGGAAGCGATGAGCTGAATTGCAGTAAGTTAACCTTTTTTCGGTACATGGAGATTTAAATGGATGTCGTTGATTGAATAGAAAAATGGTATTTTTCAAAATTCTCGGAAAATTATATTTTTACTGAAAATAACCTATTGTCAACAATATTTTTATATAGATAAAAGACACTTTAAGAAATTGAACTTAAGGCTTCAGGCTAAGCTCATTTAAGCTAAAAATATTTTTGACACTAGGCTCTTTTAAGTAATAATCTGTTTCTGAAAATTTTGAAAAATGTAATTTTTTCGATTTAATCGACGTTTGTATCATATTATCTTTCAAGAAACAAATGCAATTCCTTGACTATTGCGTATTTTGTGCTAATATCCTTCATGATATTACTTATTATTAAGCAATTATGTAAGAGATAGGTTTAGATGACAATAGTGATTAGTATTTAAACGTAAGAAGACAATACAACGAACAATCATATAAAACAAGATTCTCTCCAACTTTCAGCGCGACCTAAGCCGATCTGCGACAGTAAGACGGAGTTCGACTGTGGCGGCGGCATGTGCATCCCGCTGTCAAAAGTGTGCGACAAGAAACCCGATTGCCCTAACTTCGAGGACGAGCCACGGGATCGCTGCGGAGCTAACGAATGCGCGACCAACAATGGTGGCTGCACGCAGCGCTGCGTCGACACACCTGTCGGATACTACTGCGATTGTGATAAAGGATACAAGCTAGTCGACAATCGCACGTGTGAAGGTAATTTTCTTTCGCCGTCCTTTAGTTTAGTTAGAAAATACAGTAAGAAACCAGTAACCAATTAACAGTAACCAAAACAGTTCACTGAACTAGATAAAGTGATAAGTATTAGGCTAGTATTAATTGTACTGAATTTTGTTTACAATTGTAAAGTTTATTAACTCCATTTTCTTTATTTACAGACATAGACGAGTGCCTGGACCCGGGCTCCTGCTCCCAAGTGTGCAGCAACGAGAAGGGTACCTTCAAGTGCGAGTGCTACTCGGGCTACGCACGCGACCCGCGCGACCGGACGCGCTGCAAGGCCACCGAAGGTCATCCCTCGCTGCTGTTCGCCCGTCGCTTTGACATCCGCAAGATCAGCCTCGATCACCACGAAATGGTCGCTATCGTGAACGACACGAAGTCAGCAACAGCTTTAGATTACGTGTTCCGCACAGGAATGATATTCTGGAGTGATGTCACCGATGAGAAGATATACAAGTAAGTACCAGTAACATGATCAGGCAATATACCTACTATTTTGTGACATATTTCTTAAAATAACAAATTGGAAACAACCGGTAAAGGGACAATGCAATCTTGCTAAAATTATATGTATGGATGGATGGTTGTTTGAGTTTGTAGCCTAAACGGCTGAACGGATCTCAATGAAATTTGGCACAGCCATAGAGAATAGTCTGGAAGAACAGCTACGCACCTTTGTTCTTTTAATTCCACATGGACGGAGTCGCGGGCGAAAACTAGTCTTTATTAATGATTGGCTATTGCGGTCGCCATTTGGACTGGAGGGTTTACTTGACTAAAGGGAATTAACGGTCAATTCATTGTCTTCCGTAGAGCTCCTATCGACGAGGGCAGTCTTCGTACAGTAGTGATCGGCGACCAGTTGATAACATCAGACGGGCTGGCGGTGGACTGGATCTACAACCACTTGTACTGGACGGACACCGGCAAGAACCACATCGAGCTCTCCGACCTGCAGGGCAACATGAGGAAGATACTCATCAGAGATAGTCTGGAGGAGCCAAGGGCTATCGCCCTCAATCCCCTCGACGGGTAAGAATTCAGTTAAATACTAGTAACATAAAGAATACCTAATTTAAGCTGATATTTTAATGACACGCTCAAATATATTTTCAAAATAAAAGGCCCAACAGCACTACTTTATTGTTACCGTGTATAAACGAATTATTCAAAATATCAAATAGTCCCGACAGAATCGCATATAACAGGATTAATAAAGTTCCAAGTTGGGCAGGCTTCGTATCATTTCGTTTATTTGCGAAACTTTTATGCAGTTTACAAATAGGGCTGCCACCTTAGGAACTTTCCTGGTTTCCACAATATATGTTTGGGCTGTAGGTTTCGTATCGATTGGGATCATAATGAGTAGTGTGAAAGATATTTATTTTTTTATCTATACTATTTTAATAAAGCGTACACACACTTCTTTGTTGCCTAAGATGTCGGCAATTACAGCATATTTTTGAATAATTATTTTTTTAATAAAAAAAAACCCTACACTTACGTCAGGCTTTAGGCTATATATTTTCACGCCATTAAACTTAAGGGATAAATATTTTGGTGGGAAAGAGACCATTGCTGCCAGCATCAAGAAAGAAACCTTGCTAAGGTTTGTCATGTCATGTCATTTTGACATTTGACAAATATAAACAATAAAATAAAATTTTCATAATTTCATGCGGATGAAGTCGCACGGGAACAGCTAGTCATTGATATTAAAATGGGTCACTCGTCGTCGTTTCTATAATTCGGAGAGTCTTCGGACCTACTTAAATAGTAAGTTTGCAGCCCTACTCGGAAACAAAGTTGTTGTTTTGTGCGTGACATGCTGCTTGTTAATTGTATTAATAAGAAAAGTTTGGTTTTCCTATTACTGCGTTGTTACAAACACTTTTCTACTATACTTGTTTAGTTAACCTTTAGTTGAAGGAAATGTATTGGTAAAGAAATCCTTATTTCTTCTTTTTCTGTTCATTCTTATATCTCTACATGAAAGGACTTGAGGGTTTATCACGAATATCCGTGTGGACGATTTTGTAACGTCATCGACAAAGTAGAGAGTAAACTGAATATTGGCAAAAGAAAACGTTATCTTTAGGCGAACACATGTCACGTTAACTAGTAGTGAAAAATCGTGTATTTCAAACTATATAGATCCACGTTTTAAATATGCAAATGATGTTTTTTCATAACAGTACTTACGACACCATATTTTTAATGTGACGTTCAGTTAAATACGCAGCTGAGATAAAAACTGATCGATGTAAAAGGTCGTCGCTTACGCATGTTCATGAAAACATTAATGAATTATTAAAATCCCATTATCATTCAATATATTTTTTGTAACCTTGAATTTTTTGTTTTTTTCCTTATCGTTTCACGTTCCTTAAAAATATCACTTACCGGAAAAGACGTCAACTAAACTTCAAAACCTGTCTACTATGTACCGGTATTGGTTATGCGCAATATTTTCAAAACCCTTTTTGACGTAAGAAATAGGATATAAAAGCTGTTGATACAATTAGTAGTATCTTAAGCCGGAATTAACAATATGTGTATTTCAATATTATTGTGATTCAACAAAAAGCCATGATTTATTTTTAATAATCTATTTAACAGATGGATGTACTGGACTGACTGGGGTCAGAACCCGAAGATCGAGCGCGCGGGTATGGATGGCTCGCATCGCCAGACAATCGTGTCTTATGACGTCAAATGGCCCAACGGTCTAACGCTGGATCTCGTCAGGAAACGAGTATATTGGGTATGTACACTAAGTTGCCCATTATTAATACCGAATTAACTTTTAGTAAAACTATTTGAAATCGAGCTTCCTGATAAAAAATTTGTATGAGCTAAGCCGAAAAAACGTAATGTTGACGGATTAGAACTGTTACTACGTTTAAAAAAGGCAAAATATACTTTGACTAGTTAACTATACAGTGCTATTTACCCTGTCTCATATTTTAGAAATATATCTGATACAAAATTCTTGTATGTTCATAATTGTTACTTTCATAGGTGGATGCTAAAATGAACACGATATCATCATGTAACTACGACGGCACTGCGCGACGCCTCATCCTGTACTCAACTGATGTGCTTCGACATCCCTTCTCCATTACGACCTTCGAGGACTGGGTGTATTGGACCGACTGGGACAAGACTGCGGTCTTCCGCGCCAACAAGTTTAATGGGAAAAACGTTGAACCTATCACTTCGACTCACACGGTAACTATCTTCATCAGGAAATTGAACAAGTCTTAATGAAATCGACTAACCTCTCACAAAGTTTATGAATTTTGTATCTTGCAAAATTTGCTATTTTTATTATGCTAAAGCGAAGATTTTATAGTGTCATTTGTTGTTACAATGAAATGTTAGGTTTTATATTTCATTCGTATGACCTATTTCATCTATTTAGCAAGAATGTCATTTGATCCTGATTATAGTCATGACTCAGTCTGCTTTGAATTAATCATCCTAGTTAAACTCATAACAAAATGGTAGGGAACTAATTCATTAGCAATGAGAGTACCTGAGTCCGATGACGTCACCATAGCTTGCTAGTACCAAAAGAAATTGTTCCTTTTCGGTATAGGTCATCATTCCAATCACAGAGCAGTCTAACAAAGCGAGAAAGAATGGAGGCACTGAACGGGGCTCGTTAACTGACTTGGTGTTTCTTTTTTATTTAGCTGCAGAACCCGATGGTGATCCACGTGTACCACCCCTACCGGCAGCCGGATGGCGTGAACCACTGCGCGGCGGTGAACGGGCACTGCTCCCACCTGTGCTTGCCCGCGCCGCAGCTGGGCCCTGCTGCGCCGCGCGTCGCCTGCGCCTGCCCCACCGGTCTACGCCTGCTACCAGACAACCAGATGTGCGTCGAGGACAGTAAGTTAACATTACTTTTTTATATATATCTAATGATAACTGATCACCGTTTTCCATATAACAGCAATACTAGTACTGCAGACCACCACTACAAATGATAAGGACTCTTCGGCAGTACTTTCTTCTAGTGCGTAATATTGATGTTTTCAGGGAATCTGACACATAAAACTGGTTTAAAATATTTTTATATTGTTTAAAGTGTACCCTTACAATGTTTAAGTTTATGTTAAAGGGATTTATGGTTCAATGTATACAAATAAAGGTATTTCAAGCATATATTTCCTATAAAAAAGTCATTGAACATTATAGTAATTACGAAGTCTAAAAAATTTACTGCTGTATAACCGCAACATGACGACTCGGTAAATAGATCAGCAGACAGACCACCCGGTTACAAGTCGCCGAAGCAATAGTTATGTTACAAAAATAATTAGCTATTTGAAGTAACGGTTCGAACGTTCTCATTATCAGATCTATTTTAAACCCTGCGAGTTCGTACTCGACCAAACATTTTAAAATATATGTCATATCATAAAAAACATCCGGGTTTTAATAAAAATGATAAACACGCTTATCATGAAATTATATTTCTCTTGGTGAACAATTCATGAACCTATAAGCGAAATAATTTGAAATATGTTCTCTCCGCATGATATAACAATCAATAAGTACATTCGGAGAACATCTTGCTGTTAATAGGCTCACAATTGAGAGGGGTCAATAAAAAAGACATTAATTGTCAACGTTGTAGGGCGATGTACTTAGTGACGCGAGATTCAATATTCCGTTCACAAAAGTACCTCTCGCATTCCTTTGCGATTAAAACTATTCTGCTTACAATTAGTCATAGGTAAAACACGAAGCGATTAGCTAATGTAACTTAATATGTTAAGTTACGATTAAATTTTTGAATATCTTACTAAGTACCTACTTATCTACAAAATTAATAGATTTATCTAAAACATTCCAGTGATTTCGTTGCACATTTGTCATTGCTCCAACTTGTATTTTGAAAAAGGTTACACTTTTTGACAGTATCCAAAAACAGATTTAAAAGGCATTTCTATATTTTTAAATACGGCATCCCGATGAGCCAAAGAAACGTTAGCTTTTGTTTCTCGTATATTCTTTTCTTTCTGTTTTATTTTTATTTGGAATCGATATTAGCTTTTTATACTGAGGTTCAGTTATTTCTTTAGCTTGGGAGTTGATGCATTATCCTTAAGACGCAGTTGGAATAAACAAGATACCATTAATTGTTACTGCGACAAAATTTTCCTATTATGGACGGAACAATACAGCAAGCTGTCATAAAGTAATTACAAAAACCATAAGACCTCTGAACTTAGAAGAATATAAATCTGTTTTGACGTAGGTTATGTAAATTCTATTCAATTTGTAACTATTAAACATTAGTATCCAGTATACAGTTATTTGTTTTCTATTTTACATTTCAATTGTATTAAAAAGTAGCTATAATTCACGTATTTTTTAATTTCGGTCTGTAGGAGCTTAATGTTAAAATTAGGCGTATAAAAATGCATGTAAAACCGCCATTGCAGAGCCTGCTAGCCTTGGGGGTCCATCGACCCTCCACTTCCACGTAATGACATCGACGTATTACCTGAAGTTTATTATTAACTACCTTTTACATCTCAGGTACATTAAATCAACTGTTCGATGCGCACAAACTTTAATGGTAGCCCTTTTCTCATTACTTTGTGAAATTATAATCTTGATTTATATATTACCCGCGACTCCGTGCGCGTGGAATTAAAAAAATGAGTAGCATATGTGTTTTATCAGACTATGATCTACATCTATCCCAAATTTCATCCAAATCTAACAAACATACATTCATCCATCTAAACACTCTCATTTATAATGTTAGTAAGAAATAAGATTTCAAGAAAAACTGTCACTGTAAATTAAACTTATGAAAAAAAAATAGTCATCGTAAAATGGCGAAGCTGTGCTCGGAGACCTAAAATAAAAGAGGGATTGTCCCCTAGCAGTTGTCACAAAATACATCATAGTCTATGTATCCATAGACCACGATTTAGTAGAATTTTAAATTCCTTAAAGAGGCCTGTATAGACATTTTCTTGATCATGGATATACTATATGTCATTTCTCATATTAATAAAAGATACACTATTTTTCATATTTGTTCCGTATTGTTCCATTACATCAAGGTCGCGGGTGTTCGTAAAAATACCTCTGTTTGATTACTCGATTGCGTGATGTACACGTCAGCCTATGACATCACATCGTACGATATTTTCATCGTCACAACTAAAACTAGTGTGAACACATCTACGTTCAAAACATACCTGATTGGACGACTTATTTGTCGGCTTAGCTATAAACGATGTCTAGGAATCATTAGTCATTGTTTATTACTACGATTGCAGCACACCTACCTACTTTATATCGTGTGTTTGTCGAATGTTGAATGCTGATATAGTAATTGAGTATTGCAGATAACGCGCGTAGTGTGTACGTACAACATATCAACATTACATTCATATTAAAACTTGTATTTATCGTCCAGACAGGCAACAGACATTTCTCGGTCGTTCTTTTATATTTACAAATACACAGACTTAATATAAACTCGAACCGTTTTATAATATTTACCTATTATATAACAGTATAACACTCACTAGAATTGTACGTCTCATATCAGGGAATCGTTACATCGTTAGGATTCCACAACATACTCAGAAGTTACAAAAAGAACAATTTTACCCACATTGCTGTCGACCAATAACGTGCAGTTGTAGACTGTAAGGTGACGTGACGTCACATCACGCCACCTTTCGTTAGTCAATAGGCGCGCGATCCGGCTCGCCGCTCTCGGCGTCGAGTAGTTGTGACCTCGCTTGCATGTAAAACTTCGGTACAATTATGTTATACGTGGGACTCAATTAGCGTGTACAATTAAAATAATTATTCTATCATCGACATGTGAGAAAGATAACAATTTTTATTAAAAATTATTGATAAAAAAAAAATTATCGCACTTAAGTACGTCACAAATATATGTAAATATTTTAAAACATAGCTAGCATCACATTTAAGTAATCGTAGTCAACAAATGTTGTTAATTCAACATTTAAATATAAGCGTATTTCTTTAGTAACATAGACGAATATTGCGTAAACGCATCAGACGCAAAGCGCGTGCCGTATCGCGCACGGTTAAATTGACAGCCGGGGAATGGTCGTAGTCGAAGAGTTGGGGACGTCATTGGCGAATAGCGCTCGGCGTGAGCTTGTGGTGTGTTTGTCATTTAGTTTCTTTTCGTGGCCCGACTCAGACGTGTACAATTTAAGTCAGTTGATAAATTACTGTGATCGTCTATTCACCCTAATATTTGTAAACAACACCGAAGATCAAGGACAATTATAAAAGTTGTTTTATAATAAAATCTACAGATGCAATAAAGCCAGATGTGGAGGTGCATAAACCGAGAAATGGTTCAAATGAACCAATAGTTATTCACGAAAAACCTGTAACCAGTGAGTATTCAATAACCATTATCCATGTTTAATCAGCTAAACGTTTTCTTATCCCGACTTATTTAAAAAATAATTTGGATTCGATTCAATGTTGCGGTGACCGTGATTTTATTTTTTTGATATAGAAAAGTGAAAGTTTTTTTTTAAAGTAAGGTATGAAAAAATAAAGTGTCACCTCAATTTTGGACGTGGGTGCTTCACGGAATGGGTTGATACTTGAATCATTTAATCTTGATAAGATCGTGGCATCATGCATCTACATTCTCCTACAATACAACTTTGGTAACCGGCTCAAACATAACCTCACCTGTCATCTACTAACATGTTCAATGTGAGTACATTCAATATCTGTGTGTCTTCAATTCGGGAAACATTAATTTGCAGGGCATGCCAAGTTCCTACTTAACAAATTGATGACTTATAATTTTGAAAGGGGACCATTAAACGGCACGTCTATCACATATGGTGAATTTACAAAGAGAAGGGTTAGGCCTTCTCTTGAAGTTGGGACGTGCCATCGGAGAAGTAATAGACTCCACGGAGGAGCCGGACGCGGAGGAACCTACGCCCACCACTGACGCTAATTCCGAGCCAATGAAGGCGTATTGGGAGAGCGATAAGACGGAATTAAAAAATAAAAATCAACCATTAATTGACCTCTACTTGAAAGGGGTCGCTCTGGAGAGGATTCCAGATGCAACTGAAGAGCCCATTAAAGAATTTCATTACAATTTGGAAAGACTGAGGCAATACTTGCCAGATGTGATAGTTAATAATATTAAGGGTAAAGTATTAACATATATTAATTTTATTTAAGTAAAAAAAGAAGACATACAGATTCATTGAGAACTGCATGCATTAATACTGTTGTAAATAAACTACTAACATGGGAAATGTGAATGTTGTAATATTTGATATCTTTATAATGGAATTAACCCAGGTTTCAAAAATAAATTCGAAGTCGGATCCGCGAAAAATATATTAGTCATCTGACATCAGTTTGATGCGATCGTCACGCTTTGGGAGTTTCATTCATTCATACAATTGTTGTGTTTCTGGTTACATGCATTGTTCGGCTTAATATATACCATTTACACACTGTCGCATTTCACAAATTTACTGTTACAATTTTTTAAGAACACAACACAACTTCTATTTCTATATCGCCGTATTATTCACATATAAATTGCATTTTTTTTGTCATTTGCCGAAAATTACAATTAAAATTATACTTAGCAATTTTTTTCTTATCTACCGTCTTAAATGTATCTTTTACTCACGCGCCTAAAGCGATACTTCAAAGCGTTCATGAAAACTTAAATAAACCTCATTTCCAAACTAAATAACCATCATTCATAGAAAGGAAAAGCACTTAATTTAAAAATGTAGTTCACCTTTCATTACTGCTAAATTAGATATAAAAGTATTAAATAATTTGATTATTACAATAGCACTTTCCTTGGCAACAAGACACTATATTGAAGGCCGCGGTAACCACGTAGTATCTTTTCTGAAGTCGCGAAGAAATAAAAGAAACAATGTGATTCTATTGTATTTTCATAATTACCTTTGCGAATTACTTTAGACACCACATAAAAAGTCATTAAAATTATTTCTTACCAATGTATTAACATTTTCTAAAATTAAAAATACCTTTTCCAATCACATAAAAATGTAACGTTCTTAATTTCAGAGTGTTAATAAAGATAATTTGCTTGTGTGTTTATTTCTGTCGCTTTATAACCAACAATGTGTGTTACTAATGGTGGTGGTTTTGTCTAGTGTTTGTCTAACAGCTGCACTAAAAGCAACGTATAATTTTGAATGTTACGTGAAGCTGATGTAATATGCAAATATATGCCGCGAGCATTAGCTTGCAATAAATGTTACTATCGTATTACAGTAAGGGGAAATCAAGTACCCCAATGATTTGTTTTAATACAGTGCATAATATTAAATTTCAAAATCTTTAGTAAAACTGCTATGATTTGGCATTACATTTGTCCGGGGGACCTTAATTACCTTAAAAGTTGTACAAAAATTGGTATCAGGAAATATGTCCCTCTGTAATATACAAATACTGTAGTACATATTAATGCTAATTTTGTTTTTTTTTTTAACAGCTGTACCTGAAACTCCAAAGACCAACACGGGAATCTCATCGAGCGGGCGCGACGCGGGCGTCGTCGCCGGCATTGTGATAGCAGTCATTACAGGAGTTGTTGTACTTGCTGCATTGGTAAATATTATATTAATGTATTATGACATCCATTTTTATTACATTTTATTACTATATTTGCTATTTACCCCTATCTATATTACCCACCATCGTGGATTCCCGCCGCAGATCTGGACCCATAATCTCTGATATGTTCCGATATTCTTAAGAACGTAAAAATGCATGGAGTGACACACTAAAATCACTAGGGTGAATAAGTTCAGGATTATTGGCATATTTCGACTAGGCAATTACCAGTTATTTATAGATTTGCTAAAATAGCATCGTCCTATTTAACCCGTGACATTTGCTGTTCCCACCCGGGAGGTTGTCAGTTAAAATTCATGTTAAAAATCGCAGAATGGTATAGGTAACATTGAATAGTAATAGGATATAACGTTATTTCTATTTTAGATAACCTAAGTTTCATCATCATCAACTTGCCCTTATCTCTTATGGAGGGTCGGCACAGAATGTGCTGCTCTTCCATACATCTCGTATCAGCCGTCATATATAACCTAAGTTTTATGAATTGACATTTTAATTATTAGCTTCTTACACAAGTTTTTCCCGCGGTCTTTATCTTGTGACCTAGGGGATTTCCTAACCAATGTGACATGGGTTTTCTCATACTCCCACACTGGATTATGAATGAATTAAGTACGCTCATACGCACATAATTACAATAAACTCATTAATGTCAATACAATACCTATAAAGCATCTATAGCGTACTCAGGTTATCGAAAGTGATAGTTTGTCTATAGCAGTACCACAATAAAACAACTGAACTAACAAATAGTATGACGTCCAAAAATATTCAATACACGCATAGTTGCATTCGCTTTCGACTCGTCCTTGTTCCAAGCTTGATTAAGGCGAACAGACTGACAATCAGACTCCTGTTTACGAGGTCAACTTGTTGAAATTATTGAGCTACAAATCATGACTGTTCCCTTAACAAGCTATCATTAATTCGCTACGGAAAGATTTTGGAAAAATATCATGTAATCAAGTTTACAAATGTTTAATTAGCGATACCAAATATTCCAGCATTATCATTATACATGTCTTTGATGAATTAAAAGCCTCTCTGTATATTCTGATAGCTTATCAGTAATGAATCGATTGCTTCATATATCTTAATTAGACATTAATTGATTTCGATTTTCGCAATTCGTCATCAAGGCTATTGCGGATTACGAATGAGACACAGCTTTAGATAATGTCAAAATACATGGATTATTAATCGGAATTATTTGTTTACAAACTCCACACGTCCAAAGTACATTTAACATAAATTTAGTTTTTACTTTAAGAAGAATCTATTTTGTACAAGAAAATATACTTCACAAAAGAAGCAGTTACTCATTTTACATTTTTTATGTGTGTCAGCATATTGTACAAAAAATTCTTTGTTAATATACCATGTTTACGTGTTTATTAAGGTTTTTTAGTGAAAAAAATACAAATGAATGTAATAATTACAGTTTTTAATTTGATTTTCAAATCAAATTAAAGACGTTAAAAGAACAAGTTACAGTGGGTTTTAAATATTTTTATTTCATTTTCAGATAATTGTTGTAATGTACCGTCACTACATGCACCGCAACGTTACATCAATGAACTTCGACAATCCGGTGTACAGGAAGACAACGGAGAACCAATTCGCTCTGGAGCAGAATGGCTACGCGCCGGGCAGCAAGCTCTACCCCAGCACCGTCGGCGAAGAGGTAAGGGCGCTCACCGCTATGGAATGCACACTCAACATACAAAACAGTCTTAGATAAGTCCACTTGCTAACAATTAAGGACATGTTTTAGATAAACCCTTTATTAATTTTTACCTCTAAAATAGTATATCAATTTTAATTAACAAAACAAAACCAGACATATTGTATATAAAATTTCTATAGGATAGTAAGGTCTGCCTAAGACGTTTTAAACTGGATGTATTTAGAGTTATATTTGTTAGGAATCGTTTTAAGAATATAGATTATTTTCGTTTAGTCTATAAGTATTGTGGCGAAATGAATGTGCCAACATTTTTACCGTATCAGTATTAAAAGATAGTTGCCAAATTGTATTAAAATTTAGTGTAATGCTGTAAATATTCCCTTTAAATGTTGATTTTGTCAATTGCGATCGTTTTTGTCATGTTTTACTGCGATTTTTTTTATATTTCACGCATATCCATGCGAGTTTTTATTGGTAAGTATAATTACGACAATTAATGTAGATTTTTACTTATAAAAATATTTATAAACGTTACTAAAAACAAATTTTAACCAATAAGGAGTAGAAAAAAAATCTGACATTGCAACAAATTATGTAAAGGTGCTTGTACATTGTTGTAGAGTCGTGATACAATAAAATTGTGAACTCATTAACAGATAAAAAATAACACGAGTAAAGACTAATTTTCTTTTTTCTTTCCAGGCACAAGAACCTCTTAATACTCCCGGTACAAACGAGTATGTATAGTGCGAGATCCGGCACACAGTTTATAATAATATCGTTAAATGTGAAAAGGAAACAAAGGACATGTTGCTGGAAATGTGATTGAACCAGTGAACGGAACATACCAATGTTGTATAGTGCTTAACCCAAAACAAATAGCGTTTAGTGTAAGAAAATAAGACAGCTAGAATATAAGTTATCTGTGGAGTGGCGCCACTGTCGCTATTTCAATACTAACTGCTTTAGTTTCATTTCCCGCCACTTTACAGATAAACGGTCGAATCGAATATCGTAACGATATGGATTTCAAAATGGCGACCATGTCTGTCATCTGATATTTCAGTTGGATATACGTACAATTGAATTTAGCTTTGATATCGCACATTTCGGTAGATGTGATATTCTCATTTTTTAGACTGTGAATAGTTTGTAGAGCTATAAATTAATGGCAGTTACAATGATGCTTTATTTAAATTAATTATACAACTTTTATATTCGATTTTAGTTAGATTGTGTTGAATCGAAATAATTTATGAATTCGAATATTTTGTATTCATTGTAGATAAAATGTACTTATTAGATGAAATTTAATTGAAAATACAGAGATATATCGGCGAATGTATACACTTAAATTATGTAGGAAAAAAAGTATATTTATTTCACTGTGTGTTCGCTTGTATTATTTATTTAAAATTTATGTTTTAAATTGGCTTATGAATGTTAGAGAGGTAGACTGCGATGTAATTTCGTGTGCCAAATTTTATGCAATCAAATTGATGTCTTTTTAAAAATATTCTTGTAGATTTGTGGTAGTATAAGAGAAAAATGCGCAAATTGTATTTATTTGATTATACTTCTAAAGAGTTATATATACAGTTATGTACTACAGTTTTTAATGTTTATATATTTTATGTAAAGGTTGTGTTTTGCTATCCAACAATATATTTACTATATTATATTTGTAACGGTTGCTTTTGAATTGGAATGTAATTTAATCGAGCAAAATCCTGCCAAAATCCTCTTAATCTATCTTAATATAGATATATTCTGTAACAATTACTATATACATTTAATACTTGATGCACATTTCATACGATATACGTAGCTCAATAAGTGTCGTCACTCAAATATTGTGTAAATATTATCAATAAAATAATTATGTAAAATGTGTTACGCAGATTTTTTACTTTAATGTACCTAAATCCTACTGACTAATATTATAAATGCGAAAGTTTAGATGGATGGAAATTTGGTTGAAATTTCATCAAGATCCATTCATCACTCTAGGCTACAAACTCTAACAAACATCTATTCATCCTCCATCTAAACTTTTGCTTTCTTTAGTAAGAGAAGGAATGGACGAAATAAGTTGCCTGATGCTAATAGACCAGTGTCAATAGCATTCTTACTAATATAAATTTCGTACTTTTGGATGGATTTTTTCAGAGTATGTAGCCAAAACTGCTAAACGGATCTTTATGAAATTTGACAGATAAAGAGGACATCATGAAAGAAACCAGGCTACTTGCTTTTTTTTTAAATCCACGCGGGCGATAGGTAGTTTTATAAGGCATGTAATATATGTAAAAAATAAAAACACAATTTTCTCACTTGTTCTTTAATCAAAAAATCGAGAGAAAACAATTTGGTATATTCATATAAAAAGGCAAAACTATACCTAACAAAAATTGTATGCACAGCACATTGGTCCTATATAGAAAAATCACTTCCGTTCTTTACCTTATTGTAATTATAGGTGTTTTAAAAATTAAATTACTATATTAGCTACAGCAAAGCCCGAAAATTCCGACGTAACCAAATAAAAAACTTAGTTTTATTTGAAAGTCTTACTAAAACTAAAGTACTCAATATACATACACATTTGAAACAATTAACAAATTACTTCAAAGCTTGCAATTTTCTACAAAACTACTTAAATCTAAAATAGACAAAAAATGCCTGACATTTATTTTTATTTCCTTTTAAGAAAAAATAACAAAAAGCTTTGGAAATGTTACAATAATACTAAATTAGAATTATGCATTTTTATATCTAAAAGTTTCTAAAACAATTTACTTGATCCAATAATTTTGTGTCTAATCACAGCAGTCAACAATTTATTCCTTGTTTCCCAGGTTCCCAGGTTTTAAAATAACAATAAATAGAATAAGCATATTTGAAACGTGTTTCTGACATCTTTTCATCTATACTATTATAATAAAGCGTAAACACACACTTCTATGTTGCCTAAGATGTCAGCAATTACAGCATATTTTTGAATAATTCTTTTTTAAATAAAAAGCCCTACACTTACGTAACGGTTTAGGCTATATATTTTGACGCCATTAAACTTAGGGGGTAAATATTTTGCATAAAAACCCTAATGTGGGAAAGAGACTATAAGTTGCTGCCAACATCAAGAAAGAAAGATTGTTAAGGTTTTTCATGTCATGTCATTTTGACATTTGCAATTGATAATTTGACAAATGTGAACAATAAAATAAAATTTTCATAATTTCATGTGGATGAAACCGCATGGAAACAGCTAGTATACTAGAAAATTCATCACTTAGATGTTTCCCATTGGGATTTTTTCCAATTCCTATTGAAACAACTTCTGTCTTAAAAACAAATCCATAAGATAAATAGGACAATGGAAAAAATCTTAATAGACCGATTAGCCCAATACCCATATCTTATTAAATGAAACTCGACCCATTGTTTAAAGAACACTTCAATTATATTTTACAAGCAATTCAAGCCCAAAATTCTGAACCTACGCATTCCATGTTCAATTTTAAATTCCATTAAAAACAAACAACGGAATGCAGCAATGTATAAACACATTTTTTTGTATCAATTCTACATTAAAATAGTTCTATTGATACAAATTTATTTTGTACTGTCAAAGTATACATAAAAAATATACAGTACATATAAGTGTTAGGTACTATTACTATTTGTATAATCGCTTACTTCATTCATTCTGGATTTCTTCACATGAGGATTTTGGTTCACCGTTTCAATAGAATCAGATTTCACTTGTAATTTCTCATATAATTCATATTGTTTAATAATATGCTTTTTGTAAACAACAAATGTATTGGAGTTAATATGTCGACGTGCGTGGTAGAACATCTGATCGAAGTGATGCAAATTATGTCTGTAAAATAATGGTTTTTTTTAAACACCATTGATTCTTTGTTTGTTGAAGTTGACAGTATTTAAAATACATTTCAGCTTAAACATACATCAAGCCGTACTGTGACTTCGGTTCGAGTGGATTTTTGACAAATCATGTTAATTAAAACATTATCATTCATAGGCTTGTGAAATCTTGACCAATAAATAATAAGGTACATATATCGAAAGCAGTGTTTATGTCCATAACATCAAACTGAGGTTAACAGTTATAACATTACCAAATTGTAATTGATTTCTATTCGGGGTAATAGAATGTTCAGTTTAAAATAGCAATAGTTAATTGATTTAATAATTATTCTAGTTCCAAAACTATGAAACATAAGTGAAGAGGAGAGTTATAAAATATGTAAAAATCTTAATAATAGTCAATTATTACTTACATAGTGAGCAACACAGAGGCCAGCATTTCCCTCGTGTTTAGAAGATGGCGGACGTACGCGCGAGTGTGCTTCTTACATGATAAACATTCACAGCCACATAATATCGGGACAAACTCATCTTTGTAACTGTAAAACACGTTTTTATTATTTTTTATTATTAAATCAGCATCATCATCCACTTGCCCTTTTCCCTTACGGAGGGTCATAGAGCAGTATGTGCTGCTCTTCCATACATCTCTATCAGCCGTCATATCTGAATCCACTCCTTTCTTAAGCATATCTTCTTTCACACAATCCATCCATACTTTCTTTGGTCTTTCTCTTCCTTTGTAGCCATCCACATTCAATCTTAACACTTTCTGGTATATGTCCCCATCGTTTCATGGCATAACATGTCCATACCATGCTAATCTTTTGCTTCTCAATTTCTCCACCACTAGCGCTTCTTTCAAACTTCCTCTAATGTACACATTCTTAACTTTTTTATTATTTAATCAGCAACACAACTAAACTAATTTACTAATTTAAGATACGAAATGAGTATATTAGAGGAAGTTTGAGAGTAGCCCCAGTGGTTGAGAAAATAAGGAGTAAAAGGTTAGAGTGGTATGGGCATGTTATGAGAAGGGATGAATCGCATTTAACAAGAAGGATGTTAGTTATGAATGAGGAGGGGTACATCGGTAGAGGTAGACCTAGAAAGAGATGGATGGATAGCGTGAAAGGTGACATGACTAAGAAGGGAGTCATGACTGAGATGACGGATGATAGAATGCTTTGGAGGACGAAAACCCGGTGCGCCGACCCTACGGGAGTAGGATAAGGCAGGGGAGATGGACAATTAAACTAATTTACATCATCATTTGAAAACTTGAAATAACTTGAAATGATTAAAATTATTGAATATATATGTATTTGACAGGTAAAATGGAAGTAATTTTAGTATTACCCAGAGAAAATAATGAATAGATGACAAATGACACGAAACCATTAAAAAACTGCAATTACAGCCTGGCCAAAAATATAACCCCTGCCATATTGCTTCCTTTACGCACAATTGAAAGTGATGTCAGTAAGAGTATAATTTTTATGTATTTTTAAAGGCAATAAATTTTATTAACTTACCATTCATCATTAAGATCAAGTAAATAAGGATTAACATTATCTTTGGTCACATCAAAGTTAAGTGTCAAAGCATGGCCTAAGTTAGCCAGTTTAACTGCATACGAATTGTCAAATAAATCCCAACCACATTCTACAGCGGTTAATATGACAGCGGGATTCCAACATCCCTCAACAATATGCAACAATTCTTTTGGTATAGCATCCTGAAAGAAATGTCTAATGAATAAAAATGTAAGATGTAAATATTCTTTGCAACTTCATTGATACGGAGTATTTTTTGAATTTATATTTTGTAGGTAACAGTTTTTTCAGATTGTTATTTTGTAAAAATAATGTTTATGGAAAAAATATTCAACTTACCCCAATCCTTTGGAATATTTCAGCTAATGGTTGCAATTGATCCATTGAAAATTCTTCACTTCCATCTGTAAGACCTGAAAGGGCCACTCCGCCAAGAACATCTTTATAGTTCAGAACATTTTCTATGCTTATATCACATTTCTTTGGTATTCCAGTGCCAACTACCACACCTGGAAAATCAATTTAAAATTTTAGTTTTAAAAATGTAACAGCATCTTAAGTTATAAGGCAATGCTTAAATTCCAAATTCGATTAAAATTTTGGTGTTTGTAAGATTCTTTTTTCGTATTTAAAGCAAAGTGTTTGAGATTCATTTAATTTAACAACTTCCACGAATGGGTCGGCACGCCCGATGTAATTCTACGACCATGACGATTTAGGTGGCTGCTCCCTCGTTTGCCACCTTTTTGTATAAAAAAAAAAATTACCGCCTTACTCAATTATTGGTCACTAAGTATTAAATTTCTGATACTAAATGTGCACTAATTGCTCCCTTAAATGACTCCAAGTGTTGCAAAAAAAAAATTAGTGTTAAAAAGCAATTTTTTCACATTGAAAACTGTTTTATACTCTACATACCTATGAGACAACTGTTCTGCAGCTCCTTCGATTCTTTATATCTCTTCACACACACATGCAACATATTTCCAGTTCTTTCAATCGATTTTAATATTCTTTTGGAGCCCTCAACGAGTGATGTACGACCATCTGCAATCGCCAAAATTATGTCTGGTTTGAACACTTCCATTAGATCCATATATCTGTAATTATTTTTATTTGAACTGGACATTAAAACTTAACTAGTATTAGTAGTAGTAGTTCAGGTGAACATTAGCAAAGGTTGCATTGCATTTGGCGAAAGTTAGGTGTACAGTCAGCTTCATAAATATGCATTCACATTATTAGAGAGACTTGCATAGGCATTTGGTTTTAAAACATCTATGCAAATATTTCAAATAAGCTCACACATAGACCGATTCATGCTTCAATTTTTTATAATTAAATTGCAACTCTAAAATACAATTCTACAGTTTTGTTAGTTTATACAGATTTGTGCATCTGACTGTACCCCACTCCCATATCTCTTTTCATTTTTTTAAATAATAAAGTCAATAGCAAATGAACAAGTGGCCACCTGAATCCTCCAAAATGGCAAAGTGACTGTTGCCCATATTTGCAATTGTAGATGAATTTCCTACCCTTAATCGTCAGGGAGGAGATGAACATAAAAGAGATATTTCACCTTTCCATATGTCTTATCCATCATTTCCTCTTAAGGGTAGAAAAGGACTTAATTAAGTCCCTTGGTACCACACTCATCAGATGAATGGGGCTGCCAATGGTTACAATGCTTTAGTGCATAAATAAATATATCAATCACCTGTCAGCTGTTAACATTTTCTTTCCATGCTTCGTCCACAATGGTACCTTGTCATTTTCAAAATGACCCGATGGTGTTATTTCGTTCATATTTTGTAAAGTAACACATGTGAAATGGTCCTGTAAGCCTGCAAACTTAGCTAAACCTTCACCTTGAGCTTTCAGGCCGTGCTCTAAATGTATTGAATTAGATAAAGGCACCCACAAAAGATGTGGTTTAGGAAACACTTTGGATAACACTTCAGCTGTCAGATGTACCACACTGCCACCCTGAAATTAACAAATAATTTGTTAATATTATAGATCTACTGGTTAATCAACAATGTTTAATCGAGAAGTCATTAGTAGAGTTATAATATTTTATTAACCAACACTATTAAGTTCAGTTTAGTTTCTTGTCTATGGCACTCCCTTATCGGATTGGGCCAGTGTTGAGTAACCAACACTATAACCTTACAAAAATGAGAATAAGGAAATAATAGGTTATTTCATTAAGTAAGAATATGAAGCTAGGCATTAAAATTAAAATACAGATAACAAATTACAGACAAAACAAGAAAGATTAAATACTTGTGGCACTTTATATGAAGTTATGGTATTCTGTACTATATTTTATCACTAATTATATTTTAGCTACTATAGATTCTTATTAAAGTTTGACGATGACTAATATCATAAACATGCTTGTGAGCACCATTTGGTAACATGTTTAAATAAAATCAATGCATTGGCAGTTACGTACTTCTCAATTCGTAAATACTATTGTTAAGAATTAAACTTACATTCATAAATATTTTAATGAATTAAAAAACAAACTGTACCTGTGTAAGTAAGACCGCCGTTGGTGTTTCTATTACAGCCGATGTCTTTTTGAAGAACTCTGTTAAGATCCCTACACGTTCACAGCCAGTGCTTGAGTTTTTTATGATAAATCTCATTTTAGAAGATTATACAATATTGTGTGAAATTAGAATTAATTTTATTTGTACCCGCGCTTCAAATAACCTAAATAAATCACAGCATAGATTCAGACGATAGCTGTCAACTGTCAAGCTGTTTATCACAGATAAATAACCAATATTTATTCTGTTAAAGTTTAGATTATATTTTTTAATGTTGAATAATAATAACCACTGTTTTTTTTACATTTACAATAGCAACAATATGTTTACTTGTAAGGAATTTGGATTTCTTATGATAAAATGATTTACTCTGAAATTGTTTCTTCCTTTCATAGCTTTAAAATATTGAGATAACATGATCAATATTTTTGTATGAATGTTACAGCGTCAGCAGTAGGAGCCCATGGAAAGAAATACTAATCATTTACATTTGTGACTTTCTATGCTTTACATATTGTTTAAATACTAAATTATTCCGACCTCGTATGCTTTAATGTGATTTATGGGAGATGTGTTAAAACTTTCTATTCAAACTTTGCCTTCGCAATTTTGATAAACTCAGGAACTTTGCGTACTGTTTCTACAGTTATTGTATTGTATAATGTAATGGATTTAGTATTTTCATAATAATACGAATCTTTATGGTTCCAGTCCTAGTAATGTTATATTTTTCTATTTTCATTCAACATAAAAAGAAACAATTAAAATTGATCGTATCAAGTAAAACAAAGGTTTCCGAATTATTGATAGTTTAATCAAAGTAATTGACGTTCAATTAACGAATATCAATTACAGTCTTAATCAAAGAACTAGAATACAGATTAATTCGTGACCGGTAAATCTTTACCAAACCGAGATTTACCAAAGTCGTTTAGAAAAGCTCGGAGAATCATTGAACGGTGTAAATGATAAGCACAGAGATGGCGACTTGCATAGTTTATATCTTAGAGTAGACTTGGTAAAGACCACTAATAATTTCACGTATTTAAGGAAAAAAAGTATTTTTTTAAATAAATAAAATGCCATTATCGTTATATTTTATATACTTAAGTAGCTAGGTATATACTTGGTACAGTATATGAAAGTTTTATACTTGAAAAGATAAATTGTAGTTAATTTAACCCTTCTAGAGTTCTATCGTATTTGTTCTTTATGTGTTCCTTTAATTGGATATAAACGCTTTGCTACTGTTAATGACAAGTCAAAGGAATTTCTTTGTAGTTAGAATCTATGGTATATAAAGCATGATTTTGTCGCCACGAATATACACTCAGTATAATTTTCTCTAAGTTAGTATTACTGTCTTTACAAAATGCAGATTTTTAAGCAGATCGATTGTTTTAGTATCAATATGAAATTCTGGAAAGTTTTAGGAATATATCCTTATAACAAAATGAAATTTTCGTACAATTTGTATTGTAAGGCATTTTTAATAATTTTCATTATCTTTTACGATGTTTTACTGACTATTAATTTTTATTTCTTGCCTTCTCAATTGGATGCGTTTATCGAAGAGATGATATTTTATTTCACTGAGATATCAGTAACATCGAAAGTGTTGACATTCCTGATTATGCGCAAAAATATTAGGAAGATTCTGGAAGTTCTAGAATGTACGGTATTTGAACCGGTGAGTGATAACGGAATAAGGATACTGAAGAATGCAAAGAAGTTTAATATCGTATATTGGAAGATCGTCGCAGTTGTGTCTTTTACTTCAAATCTTACTCACATTATTTCTTTTTACATCACACATGTGTTTTTGGACAATAAAGCAGAACTGCCCGTATGCAGCTATAACTTTCTGCCAATTGAGTTTAAGAAAAGATTCATTTATCCATTGTATCTATACCAAAGTGTTGGAATTCATTTCCATATGCTCGTCAATCTTAATATCGATACATTTTTCTTGGGTTTAATGATTTTAGTCATTGCTCAGTTAGATATTTTAAGAGAAAAACTTTCTACTCTAACTGATATACCCAAATTTGTTAATCACCATAGAAATTTTGATAGAGTTCAACATGAAAATAATGTTATCATCAATTTTAATCAATCTATCGTGCATTACGACGAATTATGCAAGTAAGTACATTACCAATTTGTTTGCAATTCCCGTTCCTTTTAGACAGTTACAAAATTTTCTATATTTTTGTTACTTATTTTAGATTTTGTAGTCTCATTCAAGATACTTTCAACATCACGCTGTTATTTCAATTCGGCATGGCATCGTCTATTATATGTGTATGCTTATTTAGATTTACTTTGGTAAGTATAGTTATTATTGTAGTTTCATAATAATTATCACAACGTTCCAATAATTATGTTTAATTTTTTTTAATTTGAAGATTTTTATTAATGTTTTCAGCCAGCTGCAAAGGAATATTACATTTTTCTCGCGACTTACATGTTCATTATGGTAATACAAATAATGGTGCCATGTTGGTTTGGAACTAGAATAATAGAAAAGGTAAGAATATTGTAACACTGGTGTTACACAATGTACTATTATGTTGTACAATGAACTATTATTAACTTTTTAATTCAACAGAGCTGTTTACTAAGCCGAGCTATCTACAGTTGTGACTGGACACCTAGATCTCGCAAATTTAAAAGCAGCCTCAAATTATTCGTGGAAAGGACAAATAAACCCATAACAATAACGGGTGGAAAAATGTTTACCCTTTCTTTAGTTACATTTTCATCGGTATGTACATGTAAAAACAAACAATGTAGTCATCCCTCAAAGTTTGAAAATAAAAACATAGATAATATTTTGATTACAGATAATAAATTCTTCATATTCATTTTTTACCTTATTAAGAAACGTACAAGCAAGGGAAAATCAAAAGTAAATCATGAAGTGGCAGATAAACAGAATGTAAATGTTGTTAATTAAAAAAATCAAACTTTAGGATTTAAGGCTTAAACAATAAGGAATTTACATTATAATTAGTCACTACACGTTTTTCTTGTTTTTCACATTTATGCTTTAGAGCAAAAGGCCATTGGATCCAGTCAGCCACGTTTTAAGCGGCAATTTTTCTTGACTGGCATTCTCTAGACTTGCCTTCTTTTTAATTAAGTGAAACGAAGTCTTTTGTTGCGGCGACCTCGCTAATTGCTCACCACTCGGTTTGTCTTAGGCGGCAATTTTTCAATTGTAATGAAATATACCACGACCACTGAATATTGAAAGTTATTGTTTTATTTATTCCCCTTTCTATCTTCTTTTTAAGCTGAATGCCCATAAAGATTGTTCTAGAGACTGTAGTCTTGTATATGGTCTTGATGACGTCATCATATCTCATATTAGTGCAGTTCTTTGGTCCACTTCCGTTTTTTTATTTGGTTTTAGTTACAATGTCACCTAAAAGTAGAGCTAAAATAATTTTCGTTTATACCTCTAGCTTTTTCATTAAATGTTCTTTGTCATGAAATATGTGCACGAGGTAATTAAAAAGTTCATTTCTATTGTTTACGAAAGACCTATATTTTAGTTAAAATAGACCAGAATGTTGCGTTTTAAATATTTTCATTAGAAAATGCAAAAAGGCCTTACCTGTTAATATTTGAAAAGGCTTTAAAACATTTTATCATGCTTTTATTAAAAATTTAGTAGGACGTAAATCAAGATAGTACTTTGTTTAGGTAACATATAATAATTGACTTGTCACTCTTAGACTCAATAATGATAAAATTATTATAAAATTAATCATACTAATTTTATTAATGCGAAAGTTTAGATGGATGGATGGATGTTTGTTAGAGTTTGTAGCCTAAACTTTGAAATTAGACATAGATGCAGAGGATAGTCTGAAGGAACACATAGGCTAATCTGTTATGTTTTTTTTTAAATCCACGCAGACGGAATTGCAACTGAATGCTAGTATTTTTATAATACAAAAACATTATTTCAGGTAAGAACATCGTAGTTCATTATTAGCGAACTTTGTTCCTTAAGTGATATTTATAACTGTACACTAAAAGCGTTACCGCTGTTAACATTAAAGTAAAATTATAAAAAGCTTTTACGTGGTTTGACCAAACAGTGTAAGAAAGAATATTTTTAAATTTATACTAAACTTTAATAAAAAAGAGCGCGCGCACCTTTGACAAAACTATCGGACAACTGTATAGTCATGCTTTTATTTCTATGAGCTTATATGGAGGTGTGCACACTACTTGAATTTTAGCTGTGCAACAAAACAGTTGAATTGGCTGCGAAACAATCGACAATAGCACAATAATTGTGCGATAGTTTAGTCAAAGGCCTGCCCTAATAATTTTATCACGATGAACTTCCATGTCTTCCTGAATTTAATTCGCTAAATCAAAACCGGGTGGGTTAATCTAACACTTTAATAGTAGGTATTATATTCAAATGTTTCAGAGACGAAGGGACATGCAGTTACAATGAGTGGATAGCGAAGCAAACCCAAAGGATTAAGTTTCAATCACTTTGCTCACCGCTGTGTGGTTAATGCATACCAAACAGTAGCTACCTAAAACAACACCCCACATTGTATTTATGGGAGGATTTAAACTTTTGTCTCATTGTAAGAAAATTACATTGCAATGAAAAGTGGATAAAAGAGAAGGATTTGACGAAGAATTCAAGTGCTAAAGATATAAAAAAAAACGCCTCTGCTAAATTCTATTTTTACATAAGTCTGCCCAGGGCCGGTGTTAGTATAGGGCGCGGTTGTGCGATCGCCCAGGGCGCTGGATAGATTGGGGCGGCACAGGTCGGTCAATCACATAGTCTAACATGAACACTTAACATCTCGCCCCAAAATTACTAAAAAAGAATGCGTCGTAGATTTCTCACTCAAGCGGTATTGAGCTTACCTTTCTAGTCGCTAGTTTACTTTCGAATGTACATAGATACAGCACAGACAATATTGGTTATATCTAAAAAACAACACGTGCTAACACGTAGTTTGTGAAATAAATTACAAAAAACCTTGTTACAAACGTGTCTCGTATCTTTGGTCGTTTGCACAAACTGCATACGATATTAATGCACTAACGCGTACGCGAGTCAAGGAAGGCTTACAATAATGAGCTGCCTTTGTAGGGAGCTAAAATATTTTCCCTTTTGTAAAAAAAACAATGCATTATGTGTTGCCGCTCACGGAAAATAGTTTCTGGGTGTAAATAATACAGCTTTATGAAAATACACGGATGACGCTTTTGTGTTTGCATTTTACATTTTTATGTGACAAGCTGTTATTGTGGTATTATGAAAAACAGCTTCGTTTGTGTATTATGCGGCGTCCTTAATGTTTTGTATTCTCTTTTGGATGAAACAAATGTACCTTTATAAGTGTAAACGTTAAAAAAACAAATTACTTGCTATAGTTGTGTTTGCATATTTATTCTGTGGAAAAAAGAAAGGCCAAATACTCTTACTCTGTGAGTCATCTTCTTTGTTAAAGGTAGGCAACACATCTGCAATTATCTAAGTTGTTTATGTCTATTGTCACTTCAATATTTTTTCATACAGCTGGCCTCTTTCTCGTTACCAACATATGATAAAAAAAATGTATCAACCGCAAAAGTTGATTGCTAACATGCTCTTTTGCAATCAAATACTATAGTATTTTTATCTATAGATACGGGGAGCATATTTACATTGCAAAATAATAATTATAGTCAACCCTCGTGAATAGCTAATTTTTGACCTGGGGTTACAAAAGTTACCCCTTTCAGAGTGCAATGCTAGGTAATGCCATGAAAATTAATAATGGCGGAAGAGCCCCAAGGATATAAGCTGAAAACGGTCGCATTGGGGTGCGCTCCATGACTGCATTAAAAATAAATGATCTAGTTTGTACCCTTTTGTGTACCATTTGTTACGAAATGTTCTTTATAACAATTAAGAAAGTATAAATTTGACAATAAAGTTTTATGCAATGAACTAAAATTAATTTTATTATTAACTTATTCCCCTTGTCAACATAGAATGTAGCCTACTGTCACTCCCAGAGATGTGTAAACGTTTAAGCTGTCCTTTAGTGAACTTACTGTAATTAATACACAAGGCTCTCAAGCAGTGCTCCTTAGTGTCAATTTAACGATTGATTGTACCAGTAAGATATTTGGATTTCAACCGTTTTGTGGATCGTAATATAGCAACTAGCTGTTCCCGTGCGACTTCATCCGCATGAAATTATGAAAATTTAACTTTATTGTTTACATTTGTCAAATTATCAATTACAAATGTCAAAATGACATGACCTTCCTTGATGTTGGCAGCAACTTATGGTCTCTTTCCCATATTAGGGTTTTATTATTTCCCATATTAGGGTATTTAGCCTCTAAGTTTAATAGTGTTAAAATATATAACCTAACGCGTGACATAAGTGTAGGGTTTGTTAATAAAAAAATAATTATTCAAAAATATGCCGTAACTGCTGACATCTTAGGCAAGAAAGAAGTGTGTGTTTACGCTTTATTATAATAGTATAGATTGTGAAGGATTTGTTTTTGAATTGTTTAGGATCATCGTATAGGACTCCTTTAATATTTAATAGAACAATTTATATTGAATATTTATAGGTCGTTACTAATTACTGTTTAAGTTGAATTGTTTATGGAGACGATTCTTATATTCTTTATTAAAGAGCGCCTTTGGGACCTCGTTACGTCCTCATTGTTCCCTCCTCATTTCTTACCCTCCATTGTTTCTTTCCGTTCTAGGTTAATCGCAGATCTTAAGTTGTAAATTTTAAATATAAATTTTGATGGCTATATCTTGATAAAAGATTAATTTGAGTTATTTTGTAAATTATACTCAAATATCTTTTGTTGGAAATCAGACATGAATTTAGTCTGAACAAACGTAGCTATATTTTTAAGATCACATTTGTATAATCTTACTAAGAAAGGTTATATGGAGATATAGATGCATGTTTGTCAGTAAGTAACTCCAAAGCGGTCAAGCGATTTTGGATAGAGTACTCTCTGAAATAACACTCAGAGTTGTTTTCGTTTACTTATACTCCATAACTTTTGTAGAATCAGTTATATTTTTAATTCTAAATTAATGAAGTCGCGGACATCATCTAGTACCTCGTATAGTTTGTAATTAACAATGGCAAATTAGATAGCGTGGCGTAAACGTCTGTAGGAAACGACGCCGGTTGCCTCCGGCGCTGCGGGCTCGCTAATGTGAGGCTCACTTAGCACTACCCCTCTCTATCACCACACAACTCTAATCACACTCAGAACTTCGTTAACAGTGTAGTTATGTCGTGTTTACTGTAAATGTTTTAAAAAAAAACTAAAGTCCAGGTTAATCCAGAAAGCCCTCTATAGTGTCAAGCATTTTTTTTCGGCTACAATGATTTTCGTTTAGAATATCTAATTTTTTAAACATTGTAAACTGTTACCAAAAAACTATTTCTATTTGTTTGAAAATAGAATAATATTTTTAAAGTAATACTGAAAATGAGCAAGCCGATCTACAGAACTGAAAAATCACTTGAAATTCCGAACATTACCAGTTTTCAAAAAGAACCTAAGTAACAATTATGAACCGCTTGTTACGAATATGTGTGGTTAAATGTGTATTTTTTTTAATTTGTGCGATAATTTTCTAGTGGTAAATTCAAGCAGCGGAAAAATTGCTTAATTATTCATGTAGATCGCAGGGTTTTCGTTTATTTATTCTAAAAATATCCAATTCAACATAACGTATGAATGTAAAATCTTGTATTTCAAATCTTATATTACTTTTCAAAAGCACGTTTTAGTAATATTAAAACAGAAGTTGATATAACCCTCTCGCCGTGCTTATTAATTTCCCTGAGGGTGTTCATTATGACAAAGAACGTTCTTGCAATTTTGA